TAATGTATATGTTTTTATCAGTTTTGAAAAGTTATGATTGTCCACGAGTCGATCGCGCCGTCGGGCGTAGAACCGCCAACAACCTAAGAAGGTACGAGTCCCCCGTTAGTTTTGTGTCGGTGAATGATATTGTCATCCTACAGTTTATCATATCTCAGAATTGGGTCCTGATGTCGTAGGATGGAATATCATTATGTTCTACCACCAGCGTGTCTTTGTCATCATCGCCCTAAGCCCCTTAAAAAACAAAACCTACCTACTTGCGAACTTGCTTGATGGTTTCATATATAGCAAAAGGCTATATATGGGCACGTATGTGTCAGACATAAGCACCGAAAACCGAACCAAGAAGCAAGAAAATAAAAGAATAAAAATGGGGATAAGAGAGAGGAGGAACTGGTCCACCTAAAAGATCAAAAAAATGAAGGATGAATCAGCCCTCAAAACTTATGACGAAAAGACCTGAAAATGAGGACCCAAGATCCTTGAATCAATCCAAGAAAGATATCATTTACTCAAATTTCATAAATGAATCAACCCAAGAAAGGGTATTCCTTCCCATTCTTGTTTTGAATAGGTCGAAACGGACCCGAATTAATGTGACAATTATATACATGGTTCCATCATTACTTGCATAGTCACACCCAAGCCTGAACTCAAATGTGGCGTTTATGTTATTCAAACTTAATGTCAAACTTCCAAACTCTTTTTGAACTATTATTTTATAAACTTCAAACCCTTTCCAAACGGCAATCTTGTGAGTTTTCTAAAAAAATAGCATTTTAAAAGTCTTTCCAATTTCAACCACAGACCTCTTGCACTGTACAAATACAATATTATCCAAAATAACATGTAAGTGTTCACGGCCAAGGCAATCAAGAGGGCCAAATTAGCCTGAATAAACCTCCAACATACGAGAACTAAAGTAAACCTTCCTGAAATAAATTTTAAAAGCTCTCAAAAAGACAATATTTCTTCCAACATACGATTCGAAAAGAAGGACAGCAACTGTAAGGAGCGAAACAACACTCAAAGCAACTACAAAAAGTCCTAGAAACCAAACTTTAATTGTTTATGTATTCCAATCGTAGAATGCCTCAAAGGAACAGCAAAAAAAACATGTCTCAAATATGTTCAATACATGGCCAACCCAAAAGCAAGGCCTAACCCAATAGGTAACTAAAAAAATAGTCATCACGACAGAAAATCAGGCCCAGCACAAGGGGCAAAACTGATCCATTTCAAGGCAAAACTGGACCCAAATCTCAGACCAAACCGAAGCCAGGAAAGGGGCAAAATAGTATAAAACTTTCAGCTAAAATCCAGTCCAGAAGGAGCCAAAACCGAGCCCACCAAATGGGGAAAGACAATACAAAACCTTCAGCATTTATTTGGACAGGAATAACAATAATAAAGCTCAAGAATCAAGTCTCAAATCATCCTTTCATTCAACATATGATTCGAATAAGAAAATAACAAGAAATATGGAAACTAAAATAATTCTCTAACAAAAAGATTTCTTCTAGCATGCTTTTCAAATAAGGGCACCAACAATTATTCCATCAGCATGTATTTTAAATAAGTAAATAACAACATAAGAAACCTGAAAAGTTAAATTTCCACCCAACAAGCGATTTGAACAAAGAAGATAGCTACAAGGAGCCAAAACTAAGCCCCAAATTGAGAATAAATCTGAGCTTTTCTTTTCTCAAATAATTTCATTGTGCAAGCTTCCCTAGCATCCTTCACATTTTTCAGAAAATGCATTTTTGATTTATGCATTTCACTCATATGTTCCAGCTCCCCAATTTCATAATCATTCTCATTCCTAACATTAAACTCAATAAATGCTTAAAGTGACCCTTCATAACATTTTCACCCATCTATTAAGCTCAACTTTAGCCCAATCTTGTGCAACTTAGTGCATTTTGTGTGTGTGATGATAAAGTCCTGAAGAGGTTTTCGTAGGACTTGAGATCCTATTGGGAAATTCTCCTTGAGTCTCCACATGATAGTCTTTAACCACTCGACCATACAACGATGATTTTGAGATCATCAATGCGAGACATCACAAGAGAAATAGGAAGTGGCTGGAATTTCTAAGGGGATGAATTCCAATATTAGTTTTCTAAGATAGTCAATAGGAACCCCTAAAGCTAGATTCTAGGATCCTAAAGAAAAGAGTAATGGCCTCAAAATGAGGTCAACAGAGCACTGAAAGTTCCTCAGACACCTACAACAGAAGTTAGAAGATCTAGTGGAGTGAAACATCTCATACAAAGGTATTCGCTTTCTTTACACTATTTGTCACTAATTGATAGTGGTGAACCAAAGTACTTTGAGGAGGTCGCTCAAGTTAAAGATTTAAAAGAGTTAGAGCTCGTCATAAATATAGAAATGTAATCTATGGAGTCAAATCAAACTTGAGATTTGACGGTAATACCAAATGACAAAAGAGCGATGCATAATAGGTGGTTCAACATGTTGAAAGAGGAGTCAGGTGGCAGCAAGCGCTACAAGGCAAGACTTGTTGTACAGGGTGTTCAGTAGAAGGAATGAGTGGATTGTACATAAATTTTCTCTCGAGTGGTGTAGAAGAGAATTGTCAAGATTGTGTTGAGTCTGGTAGCAATGGAAGATCTACATCTGGAGCAGATGGATGTAAAAACAATTTTCTTACATGGAGATTTGGAGCATGAGTTATATATGGTGCAGCCACAAGACAAAGAAAGTTTGGTCTATAATTTGAGGTTGAGGAGGAGACTCTATGACTTGAAACAGCCCCGAGACAGTGATACAGGAGGTTTGACAGGTTTATTTCAGAAAATGGGTACTTAAAGTGTCTGGCAGAACACTATTGTTTCATCAAAACTTTGGTAGTTGTTATATTTTGCTTCTTTTGTATGCAGATAACATGTTGATTGGAGAAGCAGATATAAAGAGAATCAGGAACTTGAAGAATTAGTTATCAAGTGAGTTCGAGAACAGGTCCAACCAAGAAGATCCTCATAATGAGAATCAGCAGGGACATGAGTGCAGGAACATTGAAGTTGTCTCGGGCAGAGTATGTTGAAAAGATCCTATAGAGGTTAAACATGAGTAAGGTGAAACCAGTTAGCACTCCCTATGGTAGTCACTTCAAACTATCTAAGGAGTTATCGTCAAACTCTGAAGCAGAGCAAGCACATATGGAGAAAATTTCATATGCTTCGGCAATTGGAAGTTTGACGCACGCGATGATTTGTACAAGACCAGATATTGCATGTGCATAGGCAATCTAGGCAGACGTAATTGGGAGGTGATAAAATAGCTTCTCATAAGTTTGAGAGGAACAGTAAACATGGCACTTTATAATGGAAATATTGGGATTTATTGATTCAGGCCTGGCAGAAGTGTTTATTGATTCAGATCTGGCAGAAATGTGAACAGTGGGAGAAGTACAACACGGTGTATCTTCACATTGGAAAGCACAGTGGTGAGTTAGGTTTTCAGGTTGCAGACAAAGGCCGAATATGTTTTTATTGTTGATGCTAGCAAAGAGATAATTTGGGTACATAATTTCATGGTTGAATTGGGCAAAGAGCATGAAATTGAAAAACTCTACAATGACAATATGAGTGTGATTCATCTTGCTAAGAATATTGTTCTCATGTCAGAACGAAACATATACAGTTCATGTAGCATTTCATTGATATCTTCCAGAAGATTGACAGTTATTTCTGAGATATATATAGCTGAAAATCATGAGGATATGTTGACGAAGACGGTCATTATTGAGAAACTAAAGTTGTGCTTATCTTTAGTTGAGTTTCATGAAGGTTAAGATCTAGGGCGAGCCACACCACGATATGTGACCACGGTACGTGACTATGAAGGTAATTAAGATGGAGGTGCAGGTACAAAGGACTGGACTTGGTGCTATCAATCTTCAAGTGAAAGATTGTTAGTTGTGGAATTTGATTGTAGCACCCATGAGCAGCAAGTTGGCTGGCTTCCACACTGTTAGTGCACCCGACGCCAAGTCGTTGGGCTATGGGCACTTAAGCATCCGTTGAGTGTTTGCATATCGAGAAGGTGGAAATCATGCGCCCAAATTGGGCGCTTGGGTGCCACTTCTAGTGTTGGGGGCCTATTTCTAGAGAGCTAGGCACTCATGCGCCCAAATTTCGGGCAACATATGTACGGGTTTGGTGCATAACTCTTCTGATTTGTTCATCAACAAAATCCTGGTGAATGCGAGAAGGATTCTGGTGTTTTCGACGTGTGTTCCTGTGTCAGATCAATAGGAAGAGTGTGGAGTGGCGCGCTATAAGCTTCTTCGTGTGAGTGTGGAGAAGAAACTTGTGTGAATCCTTTGTAAAACACTCTGAAATTCATAGTGAAATTTGTGTTGGTGTGACTCCATAGTTTTTAATTGTTCTCGAGTTTTTCCACGTTAAATTCCTGTGCTCTTTTCAGGTTGTTTTTTATTGTTTTCTGGTTTAAATTTATCGTTTTGATTTTCTCGAATCTTGTGATCCTATTTCGATGTGACATTGAGAATTGTAGGAGGATTCCCAACATCCCTTGACAATAACTTCCCATAATTCAAAGTTCTAGAAGACAAAAAAGCTCAAAACATCATAATGGAAAGATGCATATCATGGAGGATGTCATCATAAGGCAAGAAGTTCAACCATTCTCAAAAGGACCCTTGGGATAAAAATGATGGGCATTTACAAACCAACCACCAAATTCTTATATATCTACATATTTAACACCTAAACTTCAATTTTACATTTATACCGCCTAAATCTTTCATATCACATAAAAACATATCACTATTTTAAGTTAAAAAAAGTGAATTAAACCTTTTCATGCATAAATAAGGTAACAGATATACAGATTGAATTCTAGGTGCTAGATATGTAATACATAAAAATTGAGTGCAGTACATGTAAATCTTCCTAAAAAATATCAGAAAGAAGTTAAATCAGAACTATTTCTCTGAATAAAATATTTCATATATCTGACTTACTCCCATCTCGCTTGACATAGCGTTGCAATGCAAGCTGATAATCATTTGCATGACATCCATTTCCAGAGAAAAAATAACTGAGCGAGGAGAATAGTCCTGGGTGGCAGAAATTGTTGACCCTTGTAACACAGCAATCGGCAGGAGACCAAAACCATCTAGAAATAAGCCTTACCTTCAAGGGTTATTAATGAAATGCCAGTTAAATGTGTTTCACCGGGAACTGCCTCGGCTCCTGCTTTGATGGCCTTGAATATAGAAATTTGTAATAGATCAGAATATTGTATAAAAGATAATGCAAAAGCATAAGAATGCTGAAAAAGCACCTTTGTGGCACATTCTTGAAGAACAGGAAAGTATTGTTGAGAAATTCCAATTTGTTGAAGCTGTTGCTTGGCCTTGTCGCCAGTCCAACTAAAGGAATTGCATCGCATGCACCAAAATGTAGACATGATGAACACAAGAAATGAGGTTTTTCAATCATCTATATTAAATTGGATTTCTAAATTAATTTTATAAAAAAAATGTTCTTCAAATAAGAATTATTTGGGATTGGATATAATTAAATTTGAATTCAAATAAAGTTGAATTCATACTAAAAATCATGTTTCCATGGAAAGAATATTGATGAAATGCATTTTATATATTCTTGAAGCCATACATGCATGCATACATACATTCATACATACAAACATATATATATATATAAGAAATACTAAATGTTGGAGTATGTCAAGAAAGAAGTAAATTTTGCCTGATATATCAATGCTAAAAGCTATGTCCCATGCATAAATGGTAATTTTTCCAACTACAAATTTTGATGAGCCCTGAATTAAGATTATATTAAAAGGCAATACTGCGGTTCAGGACCAAAGAAAAAATTAATACCAGTTTTAAAAACCTATAGTGTAATCTATATTTCAATAAAATTGAAAAAAAAAAACATTAAATTTTATGTTTTTAAATTGTTTCATAACAGCCCAACGTTGAAAAAGACATAAATACGATGTACATTAAGAAAAGCATCACAATCCAATGACATTTAAATGCTTCTACTAAAGAAAATGAAGCATGCACAAAGAGAATTTGCATTAAGGAAAAAAAAAAGAATCGATGAAAGAAAAAACTCACGTTGACAAATAATGCTCAAATTCACATCTCTGCAAATTATCTTTCCTGATATTGATCCAACCTACAATTCCCTGAAGATTTAATAAAAGATCGTAAAGTGCAACAGATAAATGTAATATTTCCAAGTTACAACTTAACAGCTATAAAACATACCTGAATGACATCATATAGTGGTCTGTATGTCATCTCAAGATTATCATTCATGCACAACTGCCCCAATTCGGCCTGAAGTGCTTCAGAACAAAATTAATTACGATGAGAGCATTATTTAAACTAATAGATATAATGAAAAGTAGTTTTCTAACCATGTAGCACATCTTCTTCAATATCCACAGTTCCACCATCACGCGCCATGTCTTCAACATTGCTATTCAAAAGGCACAGAAAGCAAAAGATATATTTACAAACAGATGTGTGAAATGCAAGTTCAAACTAATTTAAAGAGACATTAACATACATCTTCCAAATTCTATGTCTGTAAATACTCCTTAAAACAAAATTAGCGAAAAAATCTAAACAATTCTAAGTACATTAGGCAAGGTTGTGCTTAAGAAGACTAGCACAGCAGATTGCTTGAGTGCAAAATAACAAGAAATTTGCATGCATACTGCACAATTCTTATGGATTTACCTATCTAATACCTGAAGTTTGGTATTTATATTTATAGCATCTTGGTGCTATAAACCCACGCATAAAAAAGTGCATTTGTGCATTAAAAGGTTGGTAAAAGTGGTATTTTTATGTGATGTTATATATTTAAGCGTCCTGAATGTAAGTTTAGGTGTTAGATATGTAAATACACAACAATTGTGCAGTGTGTATGTAAATGCCCCTGAAATAAATAAAGTAATATGTAGTTAACAAATATCTCTCGCATTTTAAAATGGTTAATACAGCCAAATCTATAAACAAATCACAAAGTTGATATGGTTGCAAAATTTGCTTTTGGCATAGACTTTTCTAAACAATTTAGAAAGCATACTGGGCCTCATCAAGAATTAGAATGGATCCTTTGATATCAACATCCATAGCTCTCCGAACAATTGGATTTATGATGTAGCTATATGGGCAAAAGACTAACTGTGCTTCAGCCGCAAGAGTTTGAGCAGCAAAGTACGAACAACCTGAAAATGAGAGGGGAAAAAAAAAAAGCATTAGTGCAAAGTCCACGAAATTGCAACTTTTCCAAATTAAGTGGTTTAGCGTCTATAGACTGTAGTAGCTCAAACCTTTTACACGTTGGCCAATGCTTACTAGGTCCTCTATATCATGAACCTCAAAACACCCACCAATCTGAAGAGAAGGATGATTTCTGACTTTGTTTGCATTTCTGATTGCAAATTACATCAAAAAAGTTATTCGTACATAACTCTTAAGAAGCGAATGGAACATGAACTACATAACCATCTTATTATTATTATTATTATTATTATTATTATTATTATTCTTGTTGTTGTTGTTGTTATTATTATTATTATTATTATGACAGTGTGTGTGTGTGTCTATATATATATATATATATATACACGCGAGCGCTCACACACACATAGAGAGAAAGAACGAGAGCTGAACAGTTTTAACCATGTTTGAATCTACTAACTTGAACTCAAGGCAACCTCCAATGGTGTCCTTTAGGAGCAATTTACTGCAACATGACCAAAAGTATCACAGAGAGTAACTGGTGGAAATGCCAGCCAGTAATCAACGGGGGTAAAGAATATACCATACATCGTCCACGTTTTCTTTACCACATACATATTTATTGGTACAATAGTGCTTCCGTGATGCCTGGGAAAGATAACAGATATCAAGTACTACCATTCCAACTAAAATAGCACAAAGCTTGATGAAAACAATGTAACCAAAACGCCAATGAGTTACATAGCACTGTCTAAATATTTCTAATCTTTATTCGTCAAATTGATATTTTCATAGTTAAGGATACTAAAGATTAAAAGAAAATGTACATACATTCCACACAATTCTTATTTATTTACATATATAGCAATCATAGTTTGATATTTACACTTATAATGTCATGGTATCACAGATATGTGCTTGAAAAATGTGTATTTCTCTTTTGAATGTGGTATTTTTTATGTGATATTAAAGATTTGAGTGGTATGCAATTAAATATGAATGTTTATGTGTTAAATATGTAAATACATACGGCCCCCGCGCCAAAAATCTTTGAATGATGACTAAAACAGACCAGCCAAAAGACGTCTTTGGTTACTTTTTAAAGAGTCAAGGACTAAATCAGCATTTTACATAGTTTAAGAATATTATATTTACCTGCAAATAGTAGAGACAATCATTTTGATCCCATACTTACTATTATGTGAAGAGAATTCACAAAATAAAAAAAAGTATATTAAATTTACAAATTCAAAATTCTTTGCAGCAAAAACATAATGATGATAATAAATTTGCATAACATTTTTTTACCCAAACAACTTGCTATAAACCTTCATAGGTGATAATAAACTTGCATAACATTTTTATACCCTAACAAGATTTTCTGTTCATGGCATGCTTTATTTTTTTTTGGATTAACTAAGACATTAGTACAATGCATACTTTATTTGATTACAAAAATAATATATTTATCTAGAAAATAAATCGAACAGCTTTAAGTCCTATTGATATCAGCTTTTAGTTAGGAAATCCAAACATAAAATTTTATGACCTTTTTAAACTTGTTAACAAGTTATCAATATGATAAATTAAGGTAAGGATTGAATCTGACCAGAATAGCCATTGGCACGCGGTAAGATGTCTTCCTGTATTCCCGAATCACTTGACTGATCTGAGAATGTGTCCTCCTTCAATTACAAAACCCAACACAATCAATACCAAATAGCCCACTCATCAACAGCTGCAACAACCACGTATTAAACCACTTACGATGCATAATAAATGGTGGGAGTCAGAAGCTTCTTGTGAGCTTTAGCTTTCGTTGTTTGCTGCGGCATCTCCGTATTCCCTGCCAAGTTCAAATATATACCCCAACTCTTTCAAAGATTGAGATAAGGAAAAAGAGGATGGATATCTCACCAGATGGATCGGGATCAGGGATGAACCCGCCCCCGTGAATAAGAGGATCAGCGACCTCGTTAGGCTCCGAAACACTAGAAGGGGGTTTGGATAGATGGCGCCGATTTTGGTGCAGCTGCCACGCAATAGAAGAGCAGAGAAGGGATAGGGTTTTCCCGGTGCCAGTAGGGGACTCGAGGAGAGCATTGCAATGGCCTTGCCGCCGCGCGCGTTCGAGAGTAGAGATGACGCGGCTCATGAAAGCGAGCTGGGAGCCATAGGGTTTGTAGGGGAACTCCACTGGGACGCCGCTGATATGGTAGATGTTGGATTTGGGGGAGGGGCTAGGGTTAGAGTTCGGGGAGGTATCCATGGCTGGGAAATTATTTCCGGTGGAGGGTTTGAGATCGAGGAGTGCTGCGCAAGGGTCATTTGTTTGGATTGAGGGGAAAAGGCGAAGGGCACTAATTTGGCGGGAATTTTCCCATTTGACAGGTTTTTTTTTTTCCTAAATTAAATTATGAAAATATATCAAGTGTATGATACTCAACTAAATATAAATATTTTTCTAGCCTTTTTTACAATAAATATTTCTCTTATTTATAGAGAATATGGTATAACAAATAAAATGATTTTCCCATCTCTCATCAGAATACGGCTCGCAATGACAAATTCTTTATAGATAGTTGTTTGACATTGTTTCGCAAAATAAAAAAAATGCATGTAAATTGTATCGTGCATATGCATATCAAATTGTATTCACTCTTTGAAAGGGCAATGTCCGTTTTAGGCCAAATTTAACGAATATAAAATCAAATGACTTCTTATGCTATAAAAATGATTTTAAAAATGAGTCTAGCCTCAATGGCGCATATAAGTTTAAAAAAAACAAACATTAAGGTTAGTTGTCCAACCATTATTTGATATGGTGCTGACGTAGATAACAAATGGAAAATTTTTTAAAATATTAATTTTCATAACCATTCCTGAGCAGAGTCAGGTGACCAACATTTCTAGGGATCAAGTCGAATTTTAGTGATATCAACGGATATGTGCTTAAATCGATGACCGAAGCAAAGACAAAAGCTATTGATGCATTCAACCTTTCCACCATGAAAGCTGGTGGAGTAGATAAATTGGGGTTCTAAGAAAATATGCATTCAATTTTATTCAAAATGAGCGATGAGTGAAAAATATATATTACGACACGGATGATTTAATACAACTATTCACAGAAAATGGTAAGTTGCAGATAATATGTTTGCATGTAACTTCTTGGTTGATGATTTCGGTAGGTTCATGAGATTTTGAGTGATGGCATTTCAAAAATCAAATATTATTGCTTATGTGGTGTCGTAATTTTGTATATAAGTTAAACATTGAATAAATAAAGCTTAGGTTGTGCAACGTTTGTAGGGGTTAACCATTGTTGACATAATGTCCTCATTGGATTAGGTTTTTTTATCTGAAAAAATAATTGACTTATTTAAGTGATTATTTAAAACATTTATTTGTATAATAGATGATAGGCATCTATTAACAATATTCACTTATCATGAGCAAGCAATGACCAAAGCTATAGAAAATGCATTTCCTTTTATTCATCATACATTATGTCAATGACATATTAAAAATATTTCATTTAAGGGTACATCGCTCCACCAACAATAACAAAACAAATGACATGTTTTTACACGTGTGTGAGTAAATGTGATTCAAAAGAGATGTTCAAACAAACTTGGACTAAGACACTTGATAAATTATCTATATGACTATTCACCGAAGCTTCGAAGTCGTGATATTTTCAATGTTTATTTGGGCTTGAGATTTTGGTGGTGATGGTTGCGATGAATTTGACAACATTGTTTATCGAAAATGGCCGATACCAATGTCATGAGCGGGATTAAGTTGTGAATTTGACAACGAGGCTTCTCGGAGGGGGATGATATTGGTTTCACCAGCAAGTAGTTGTAGCTTCGCCACAGTTAAGTCCTTAAATAAATAAAAAAATAGAAAAAAAAAACAAAATAAATGTTGATTTTCATATTACTTATGCAAAATAAAATGTCATGTAACAATTATAAGTAATTAGTAATTGAAAATACGCGTTAATGATCATCTTAAAAAATAAAATATAGCATAATTTATTGCACCAATTCCCGCTTTTGACCACCTTAACATTCGTGGTCGAGTGTTAGGTACGTCGAGTGCGCTTAAGTATGTGTGCTCATAAAACCATATATGAAATGAGAAGAAAAAACATTAATTTGGTTGTAAAAATAAGTCAGACGTCTTGATGCATACAAAATGTTCGTCGTAATCAAGACAACAAATCTGTTCATGTAGCCAAACATTTGTTGTCGCCTTATTTTCTAAGTAGTAATATCCATTTGCTCTATAAAAAAGTCATATGTGGAACTTGACTAATAAGAAAAACCATGCACATCTTAGACAAACCTGCACGTACCGCTTGACATGTTATAGTTGATCGAGGGAAAAATTAAGTCCAACATCAAAAAGTTAATAATAAACTCAACAACAAGATGGACATACTCCCTTGAAACAAAGCTCAAGAGGTTGCTCTTTATTTGCAATGAAGTGACATTTGATAATATAGACTTGTCCCAAATTGCGCGTTCAACTTTATTGCGAATTCTTATTATTACAACAACTTGATCAACAATGAAGGTTGATGATGTTCCACCAATCTTAAAGACATTCTTATCAACATCCTAATACTTTCATAATTTATATGGTCAAGCTATTTTTGTGTTGGTAAGGAGACATCTTTAAAAATTTAACTAAATTTTGATCACGTAGAGGATTATAGCTTCGTCGATAAGAATTCGATGTACGTGGTCACATACTCCCCTAACAGTTGAAGGCCCGCACCTACATCAGCATACTTGCAGTTAAATCACTATAAAACGATTCAAAGAAGACAAAATAAGCATAAAGTTGTTCTGCTAAAAAAGTGCATTGTAAAGTAAATATAACTAACAAATGTAGCATTTAAGAATTCAACTACAACAACTTTATCAACAATGAAAGTTGATAATGTTCCACCAATCTTAAAGACCTTCTCATCAACATCCTGGTACTTTCATAATTTGTAGGGTCGGGCTATTTTTGTGTTGGTAAGGAGACATCTTTAAGAATTTAACTAAATTTTGATCATGTAGAGGATTATAGCTTCGTCGATAAGAATTCGATGTATGTGATCACATACTCCTCTAACAGTCGAAGGCTCGCACCTACGTCAGCATACTCGCAGTTAAAGCACTATAAAAGATTCAAAGAAAACAAAATAAGCATAAAGTTGTCCTGCTAAAAAAGTTCATTGTAAAGTAAATATAATTAACAAAGGCAGCATTTAAATTTTTAATAACACAAGAAAATAAGTACATATAAGCTAGTGCACACAAGTATCATATAAATTTGGCGATGGCATAATGTCAAAGGTATTAAAGTGGTATTGAACTGTTTATGGAGTCATATTATGGTGGTATTTGTGTGATATTGAGGTAGTATTTGTTTGGTTTTGTTGAGGTTTTGAGGGAGGATCAATGTTTGTGGTATTGAAGTAGCATTAGGATGATACTGTGTTGGTATAGGGGTAGTATTAGTTTGGTTTTGTTGAGATTTCGGGGGTGGTGCAATTTTTGTGGTATTGAGGTGGCAATGATATTGATTTGGTATTGTTAAAGTTTCGTGGGGCGATGCAATGTTGGTGATATAGGGGCAGTAATGAAGTTGTATTAGGGTAGTATTGAAGTGGTTTTTGGGGTTTTTGGGACAAGATGTTGATGGGGTGATACTGGGTGGCATTGGGGCAATAGTAGGGTGATATTGAGGTGATATTGGGTATTTTGGGAAAAGATATTGATGAGTGGTATTGTGGTTTTTGGCATAAGGTTGCGTTGGGGTGGTCTTGGAGTGATCTTGTGGTGTTTTGTACAATATTAATGGGGTGTTAGTGATTGGTGTTGGAGTGATATTGAAGTAGTACTGAGGTGGTGTTAGAGTGATAATGGGACAATATTCATGTAGTATTGAAGTAAATGAGTATTGGTGTTAGATGCGGTGAAGTAGTTTTGATGAGGTGGTATTGGATCAATATTCAAGTAATATTGAAGTGGATTAGTAATACCGTTGAGTTATCGTATAGAAGCGACATTGGAGAGCTATTCTGATTATCTAATGTATTTTGTCACTAATTGAACAAAATCTCATGATTAAATGAAACACATTTTTTTCAGGTGATATATTTATTGTTCATAATGCATGAAACAATATCGAGGAACAAATGATGTCAAAAGATTGATGCTGGATGAATATACTTCATGATGAAGAATGCTTTGTACATTAAAACAAATATATACTTGTTAAAGATGAAACTCTACTGTCCCTGATTTTGCCCTCTCTCACTTCAATTTCTGTATCATACCAAATTCTTAAAAAAACCTAAATGAATTTAATTGGCGCTCGGCGTTCCCCGTCCCCTTACCCGTTGGCCGGTTCGCCCTAAAGCTTCGGCTTCGTGACACGAACACTCGCGATAGAGTAGCTAGAGCTAGCTGGGAAGACAACGACGGGATCGCGGCGCACAGAAACCGCTGAAAACTCCCATCTTTCTCCTCCGTCCGCGTCGCTTCCAAATCGAGTCAAATCCGGCTGTAAGTGAGTTATCAGACAGCCTCTTAGAGATTTCTGCCAACATCTGTCGTTGCCAAATCGCTATCAGTCGTCTATTGTCGTTGCCCGCCACGTTTGCCTGTTTATCAGCATTCCGACCAACTACCGTTGGTCGGCGACGCTTTAATGGCTCGCGAATCCATCTACCCGCCTACGAAGCTCTCCCCTCGACTTTCCTCCATCGTTCTTCTCCTAACCCTAGCCGTTCTCCTCCTCTTCTCATCATCCTCCCTTCTATCCTCTCCCTTCTCCCTTAAGGTCTCGCCTCCACTCCGCCGACACACCAATACTCTTTGCAGTATCCGCGCAGCTGATCTCACCCGCGGTTTCTGGTCTTACGATCCCCAAGGCAAAAATCACACCAGATCACTGTACGACGCTTCCTGTAAATTTCATCGCAACGCGTGGAATTGTTTTCGCAATGCGAGGGAGAACATGGATGCGATCAACTCTTGGGTATGGATTCCTGAAGGTTATGGTGGGTCGCCGCTGCCGCGGATCGACCCTGCCGCCTTTCTTCATGCAATGAAGGGGCGGCGCATTGGGTTCGTTGGAGATTCACTAAATGAGAATTTTATCGTGGCGTTCCTTTGTGTGCTGAGTTCGGCTGACCCAGGTGCGCGGAAGTGGAAGAGGAAAGGGGCGTGGAGGGGTGGCTACTTCCCCAAGTTTGATTTCACTCTGGCTTACCACCGGGCTGTGCTGCTTGCTAAGTACATGTAAGCATTTGCTTGAAAGTGATTGATAATTTGGGTGAAATTCTGGCTAGTTCTGTATGATGAACTATATACTTATAAACAATCTTGTTGCATTACGTTGGTTCCTCTAATTGCAAACCTTACACTTATTAAAAAATCTCTTTTTTTTTCAGTACATATTGCAAGGGCATGAGTTATGTAATTCTGGGTGTGAAGATATTGTTTTATTGTGCCATATTCTGTAAGTTGCAGTGGAGCTAAGTATTGTTTAGTGTACTAAGGCAGATAGTATAGATGATGCATTTTATAAACATGAGAAAACATTTATACGAAACTGTTGCTAGATCTTTTTTGCACTTATCTGTTAAATAGTTTTGATTTACTTTTACTTATTCATAACTAATTATATAAAGGTGGCAGCCTGTGGAGCAGTTGGATCTTCCGAGCAGAGATAGTTTGAAGGGATTTTACAAGGTGGACGTCGATATTCCAGCTGATGATTGGGCGAATATAACCCAGTTCTATGATGTCTTAATATTCAATACCGGACACTGGTAATAAACATTTCTTATTTACATAAAGAGTAATTTACATTCTTTGAAATATATAGAATCTACGGTATTTTTTGTAACGTTTTCCTATTGCACCTATTTGTGAATACTCGAATGTCTTTTATATGTTACTGGATATGCATAATGTGCATCAAGATGTTTGTGCTCTACTGAAAGACTATTTTGTATTGAAAAATTTGACATAGCAAGTTGCCCCATGATCGATATCAAACAAATAACTTGGTGAGTAACTTAAACCTAGGCATAGTTTTTTATTCCACTAACTAAACATAGATTTTAACAGCACTCATTAAATTGATAAATGGTTTGTTGAACAGGGCTTTGCTAAATAAAAACAGCAAAGTTCAAGAGTAAAACACAATGGAAATTCAGCAGCTAAGCTCAAGATAATGAAATTAATGTTAAATTGGCTTTAGAGTTTATGCAAATTCGTTTGAATCCAAGCGGCGGACACACCACTTAGAAGAAAACCAGGAAATCCTTTACCCTTTTGTATGGCCAATAGGGAGAAATTGTTGGGAACAAAGTAAAATAATCTTCTTACTATTTGATTCTTGCTTAAGTTAAAATATTGCCTTTTAACTCTTTATATTGATAAATTTTTTTTCGATGTACAACAAAGAAATAACTTAAAAAAAGCTGGTCAAATAAAATAAAATATAATTCTATAAAATTAAATTCATATATGTTGATTTTAAGAATTTAGTGGAGTTATTGTATTGTTATGAAAATGAGGTATAGATACCCTTACATGAATCTTAGAATAGGACAGACAATAAAAGGAAAATAACATGAAAGGAAAGATATAACATCTATATATTTAATTAATCACTTCATAATAATTACTTGAAGATAAATAAAACTTCATAAAATAGGATAAAAAATGATTCAAATCCAAGGAAATAAATATAATCTTCATAACTTCTAACAGTAATACATTATTTTCTAGTATGACTTCTAACGCTCCCATTTAAGTTGAAATATAGTTGACAATCATGTTAAATTTGGATTTAAAAATATCAAACAATGGACGGGGAAGATTTTTGTGAGGTAGAACTTGAAGTTTTCATCATGTATTTTTTAATTAACTCCAAAAGCATTTAGAGATATTTGTAGTTGGCTGAGGTTGTCTCTGTAGGTAAGCGAAAGGCTCTTACAGGTAATGCTGCTGGAAGTAGACATCCTACAGGACTTCTAATTGATTGTGGTTATTAGGGCTGTAAAAAAAGCTTGTTGTTTGCGAACAACTCGTGTTCGACTTGCTAAGTAGCTCATGTTCGACTCTTTCGTTAAGTAAACAAGCCGAACATGAACAAAATTTTAAATCTCGAATAATAAACGACCCGAACACGAACAACTCTTTGTTCGCTTGTGTTCGGCTCGTTTTAGCTCGAAATGAAAAAAATAATTATTTATATAATAATTTATTACATATATTATTTATATAACAATATATTCTATATATTTATATCTAAGTTTAAATCATAACACATCGTGTGGTAAGATGGTCAGTGCATTCTTTTTGCATACATTTGGTCCATGTTCGAATCCAACACTTTACATTTTTTTTTTCAATTTAATTTTAACGAACCAATTGCGAGCCGAACACGAACACGAATATTTAAATCTAGCCGAACACGAACACACTGTTCACGAGTCAATTTTGAACACGAGCCGATTTCAAACACGAACAGTTTCGAACGAGCCGAACACGAGCCATGCCTGAGCTCACTCAAGCTCGGCTTGTTTACAACCCTAGAGGTTATTTTTGACTGCAATTTTTGTAGCGTCTGTAGGTAGGCGAAAGACTTCTACAAGTAATATTACTTCTACAGGTAATGTTGCAGGAAAGTTTGCAGGAAAGTATACAATTTACCGAAAAGATTGCAGAAAAAAGAAGAACTGCATGAAAAGTTCCATGATATGTTCTATAGGTAAAAAAAAGAACACTTATAGGATATGGTCCAACAGGTAAAATGGAAGAACACCTGTAGGGAATGTTG